TTGCTTGAGCCAAAACGGCGGCGGTGCGGGCGACGATGCGTGTAATGATGACGCTGCTTGGGACGACCAGGGCGGATAGCAGGACCACCCGGGCGGATGCCCTGGACGACCAGGGCGGCACCCCCTGTGGTGTCGAGAAAGTGCCACGCCTGCTGTGCCTGAACGACTGGCGCGGATAGCGTCCCCACCCCCTGCTCACTCCCTGTGGTGTCGAGAAAGTGCCACGCCTGTGTGGGCCGGAACGACTGGCGCGGATAGCGCCACCACCCCGGCTCACTCCCTATGGTGTCGAGAAAGTGCCCGCCTGCTAGGCCCTGGAAACGAACTGGCGCGGGATCACCCTGTGGTGTCGAGAAAGTGCCCGCTGGGCACCCCCTGTGGTGTCGAGAAAGTGCCACGCCTGCTGTGCCTGAACGACTGGCGCGGATAGGGCCCCCACCCCCTGCGCACCCCCTATGGTGTCGAGAAAGTGCCACGCCTGCTGTGCCTGAACGACTGGCGCGGATAGGGCCCCCACCCCCTGCGCACCCTCTAGGGTGTCGAGAAAGTGCCACGCCTGCTGTGCCTGAACGACTGGCGCGGATAGCGCCCCCACCCTGTGGTGTCGAGAAAGTGACACGCCTGCTGTGCCTGAGCGACTGGCGCGGATAGGGCCCCCACCCCCTGCGCACCCCCTATGGTGTCGAGAAAGTGCCACGCCTGCTGTGCCTGAACGACTGGCGCGTATAGGGCCCCCACCCCCTGCGCACCCCCTTATGGTGTCGAGAAAGTGCAACACCTGCCACGCTTTCCGTGTCGTGTGGTGTGGTGTGGCATGGTGTGATGTGGTGTGATGTGCGTGTGTCTCCTGATGTGATGTGATGTGACGGATGGTGTGGTGTGGTGTGGTGTGGTGTGGTGTGGTGTGGTGTGGTGGGGTGGGGTGGGGTGGGGTGTGGTGGGGTGTGGTGGTGTGGTGTGGTGTGGTGTGGTGTGGTGCGGTGTGGTGTGGTGGGGTGTGGAGTGGTGTGGTGTAGTGTGGTGATGTGTGGTGTGGTGTGACGTGGCGTGGTGTGGTGTGGTGTGATGTGGTGTGTATACGAGCGAGAAGGAGGAGGTGGAAGTGAACGCGGGTATGACGCGGGTGTAGAGAAAATCTGACCCCCCCCACTTAGAATGCAGGGAAATACTAGGAACGGGCCATGGAAGCCGCCAGGGAACCGCTTCACCCGAAACATCTAATAGAAAACTGACCATTATCTGGAGAATTCCGCGACTCCCCCCCCTTCTGCACTCCCCCTAAGGGAGGCGCAAGCGCCCAACTCAACGTACATTGCTCGTACATCGCTCTTTCCGTCACCTGGGCCGGCACGGAAACGGAAAGAGCGCCTCAGGAACTGACTCGAGAGGGCTCATGGCGAGAGTCTTGCTGTGAAGAGCTTGTTACATCGCCGTCCGCGTTGGGAGACCTGGTGTCGAGAAACTTTTGCGTTGCCGCTCGCTCGAGGGAACTTTGGTGTGGCGAGCTTTTTACGTCACGGCGCTCTGGGGAGCCTTGGTGTCAAGAGCTTGTTACGTCCCCGCTCGCTGATGGGAGCCATGG